AAATAGTCTCAACGGCATTTAAAAATATTTAATACCCCAAAAGTACATAATTTGTATCTCTCAAATACTATAGGTTTAACATCTCTTTAAATAACACATATACATAATTCAAAAACTCAAAACATAATCACATAGAATATATTAATCACATAACACAGAATATTTCTCAAGTCTCCAAATATTCTCAATGGTGTTTAAAAATATTTAATACCCCATATCTCAACTTTCTCAAATACTATAAATTTAATGTCACTTCAAACAATACATATTCAATATTCACACTTTAATCAAATCATAGCATATAGTACGAGGAAACCATTTTGGATCGGCAGAGAAACTTACCTCAATTCCAGGAATCTCTAATTGTCATTTCTACCACATCTTGACCAAAACAACCTTCTATGAATATAAAATTCTAAAATTAATAACTATTCTTATTCTTAATTAGCCCTTACCCACCAATTCCATTACTTGATTAGGATTGCAGTACGTACCCAATTATTATTCTAGTCTCATAAATTAATCGGTCGTTTTAAAAGTCTAGGTCAGTCAATTATAATCAGTCCAACCCGCATTTAGAATGACTCCATATCAAAATACTCGAAGAACATGCCTTACATTACAGCGTGAAGCAGGAGAACGGAAAACAGGGGAGAGGAAATTAAAGTTCCGACGCAGGCATGCTCCTCTTCGGCGGCGGCCCCGACGTGCGGCTACCCCAGCGGCTTAGCGACCCGTGGAGAGGCAGCGGCGATCTTGGTTGCTTCTCCCTCCGGCGTCAGGCAACGGCGACGTTGATTCACTCCCTTTTCTATTCACTCAAGGATGAGATTACACTCAGTCATTCTGTCGTTTCTCTCACCACCCCTTACGTTTTATTTTCTTTCTTCTGTATTCATTCTATTTTTTTTTCTCCCACCGTTTGCTTTGTGTAGTGAGGTTCGGCTGATGTTATGCTATTTATACAGAACGTTGAGGGTTCTTTCCTTAGCGTTACAAATCTTTTGCATTAACTTCCTACCATTTTCGTTCGCACCGAGCGTTTCGTACGCAAGACTTATAGCGTAGTGATTAACAACGTTTCTGAATGTAGACGATTTTAGCTTGTATATTAGTTCCTATCTATATATGGTAGCTTTGATTTATCTTTTCCGCAGGTTTAATTAGCTTATAATTATCACTTCGTATTAGTTTATATAATCATATGAAGTACTATTTTCCCTATTATTATGTACCCCTCCGTGGGTTATTAATGGGTTGATGTTTGAATAGTCAAAAGTTTAAAATGTACTCATATGCTATTGTAGTACCATATACGAGTATAGTGTACGTGTATATTTTATACAAAAATTCGTTAAATATTACTTTATGTCCAAGTCTTATAAAATCAATATTATTAAATGTTACTTTGATAATTTCATCTCACATATATTAGTATCACGTGTTACAAAACGTTACTTTCATAATAAAATGTCACTTCTATTATCGAAACACCTTTATCAACCAAAAATTGGGGTGATCTCTAAACCCGGGGTGATAAGTATTGCCATAGGAGTCGTACCTTTTCTGATTTGGGAACCCCAAAGCGTTGACTTGTTCGGGGTTGTCTTCTTGTAGCGTTGGGCATGAGTCGGTTGGGTGCCCTTGCTGAGTGCAAATGCCGCAGACCTTGACTTCTTGGGTTTTGGAATTTAATAGGAAATCCTTAACCAAAGAAGTCAAGCCGGCAACTTGACTTTCCAACGAGGTGTTGGACTCTGCCGCCATCACTCGTTTTTTTGATGACCTCCCGCTATAGTGTCTCGAGTTTTCGGCAAACTCCGAGATGAGGTCTCTTGCTTGGGAAGGTGTTTTGTTGACGATTCCTCCCCCACATGCGGCGTTGATCATTCGTCTATCATCATTGCAAAGACCATCATAAAAGTATAGGATGAGGTCTTGCTCCGAATAGCCGTGGTATGGACAGCTTGCACAAAGCTTTTTGAACCGTTCCCAATATTCATAGAACGATTCATCATCATTTTGTTCCACGTTGCTAATTTGTTTCTTTAGAGATGAGGAGACGGAGGCGGGGTAATACCTCTCGAGAAAAGCTTTCTTCATGGCCGCCCATGTACCTATACTTCCCGAGGGAAGATAGAATAACCAATCCTTTGCGGTGTCTTTGAGGGAGAATGGAAAAGCCCTCAACTTAATTTGCTCCTCGGTGACTCCGTTGGGGCACATGCTTGTGCAAACAACATGGAATTCCGAGAGATGCTTATTTGGATCCTCCCCTCTTAAGCCATGGAAGGAAGGAAGAAGATGAATAAGCCCCGATTTGAGCTCAAATGTATTACCCTCATCAAGAGTGGGGAAGGTAATACACAATGGTTGTTGATTCAGGTTTGGAGCCGTGAGCTCCCTCAGTGTTCTTGTTTCTTGAGCCATAGTGATTGGCTCTTCAGATTCGCTAGAACTAGAGCTAGCGTTTGAGGATTCCTCCGAGGGTGTGTGCGGAAATAAATTTCTCAACCTCTCGAAGGCTTGTTCTATTTCGGGGTTTGTTTGATAAGTGATTTCGTTTATGGAACGATATCGGACCATATACTTCACAAAGCTCAGAAAAAAAAAAATAACAACTCTTTATATTTTTGGTTAATTATATTTTTTTGATTTTTCTTGAAATAAAAAGAAAAATAATTGCCTTTCCCCGGCAACGGCGCCAAATTTGACGTGCACTTTGTTGTGGTGTGCACTCAAAATAATAATACAATACAACACTTATACGTAGTATAGTGTAGTAAGGTTCATATCCACAGGGAAAGGAATACTTCTCTCTTTATAAACTAGTAACAAAGGGGGGGTTTAGGTTTGAGTGATTTAATTAAAATTAAACACGAAGATGAACGAGTTATGTGATTTAATTAATGAGAAGAATACTTGGCTTTGCTTTTATCCACTTAATGAAATGTTCGTCGATCCCGGTTATATCTTTAACTATCTTCCTCTCGAATACTCAATCGAGGAGTATATCCAATTCATCGAGGGTAGTTATTAATAACGAGATGCTTTCATTAATAAAACTTACTATCGAGTCAATATAGAACAAGCGCCATATATTAACTTGATAGTGGAAATAAACTTAATATGAAAACGATTGAGATTGATAACCTCAACACAAGCGGTTTATTGGTTTAATCAATATAATTAATTCCTCTTGGTTTATTAACCATGAGAAGCATGCATTAACAACCCAAGTTTACTACCATTGAAAGAACCGAATTAATAACAAGCGTATTAACCGATTGATTCTAGTAATAATTAATATATGAAACAAAACTAATTGATCCTTTAAGCAATGCTCAAATATTAATACGGAATATGAATAGGAAGTAATTAATATTCAAGGAAGAAGATTAAAGAAAATAACTCACAACTTACAAATCATTAAGCTTCAAAGTAGCAAAACCAAGATGGAAGAGTTTAGCTCCTCATTTGGAGACTAAACATGATGAAAAATATAAAGAGAGAACTTGTCTAAACTGAGCTAAGAAGTATATGTGAATTGGTGATTTATTGTGGAGGAAATGTGGTGTATTTATAGGCTTTTTAGGCCTGCAGGGTCGTGTACCCGATCGGGTTTTCATCTCAACCGATCGGGTAAGGGTTATTTCCTCGAAACTGAAAATCTGGGGTCATACCCGATCGGGTATGTCGGCCACCCGATCGGGTATGGATACGCGATCGAATTAAAAAAATCCTCCTGCATGTTGCCTTGTTCCCGGGTTGATTCGATTTGACTTTTCAGCAACTTACCCGATCGAGTATAGAGCATACTCAACCGGGTACGCTACCAAAAATCAGAATCTTCATCTTTTCTTGAAATCTTTGCACCTTCCTTCCATTTGTGATGTTCACCAATGGTCCCTAGAGTGGTCTTGGACCTGTTTGAGCTCAGAACCAACCTAATCTAAACAATTTACAAACATTTTACAAACTAAATTATTACACCAAAAGTGTGTAATTTCTAGAGTAACAATCACTCAAAACTAATCAAAAACACAATTATAAACACGGAAATAACATGAATGTCAAAAAGCAAGAACACGTTTATGCATTTCCCAATCATCATCAATATAATGTGCAATGACACCCAAATAATGTATATGATGATAAGTATCCTCCCATATATCATTACAAATACTAACATGACCATCAAAGTTTGCGAATTTTTTTTTTGTAATTGAGCGTTTTCCAAACCATAAAGTCTTATAACTTCTTTTTTAATCGTTTTGCGACTATAATTTCTAAATTGAGGATTTAAAGTACCTTGAGCATAATCTCTTAAAGCAAGATTTGCGAAAAAATAAAAGACAAATTTTCTTCAACAATTAAATTAGACATACCACTCAAATGTTTGGAATCATCATATGAAAAATTACCAAAGGGTTGGCTATTTGCAAACCTCGATATTTGAGTTTGCTTCCCCTTGCCCAATTTTACATACTCCATTGTGTCGATCATTAATTTAACGAAAAGCAAGAACACGTTTATGCATTTCTCAATCATCATCAATATAATGTGCAGTGACACCCAAATAATGTATATGATGATAAGTATCCTCCCATATATCACTACAAATACTAACACGGCACTACAAGAAAAAGGCTCATTAGCGAAGGGAAAAATGGTCGCTAAAACTTAAAAAATGGCCGCTAAAGATTATTAGCGACCAAAATATGTGGTCGCGAGTTGGTCCCTATTGCCCTCGCCGCAAAAGACATTTTGCGACCGGAAAAAGACGTCCGTCGCTAAAACAATTTGAGACCAAATTTTATCTGGCCGCTAATGATATCAGTAAGGAACACATTGTCATGGCTTTTGCGACCATGTTCCCTTTGCTAAAACAAATTTGTATAAATACTTTCTAACAATTTATTCCAATAAATAGTGCTTGATGATAAAATATAATACGTACACAAGAGATGATATACAAATGCATAATAATAGGATAAAATCTTATTTGCATATAATTATTTAACTTTTGGTTCTAAATCAATGATACAAAAAGTATTTAATCATCAACTACATCATCTATTCATCTAATCTACTAAAATAGTTAAAACAAGTAGCTAGCGTCTCATCTTTTCACTTTTCACACGTGATGACTGGGAATGATCCACCCATCTTTGTTTTCTTGATATATACAACATTTCTTTAATCTTTTCAGGATCATATACTCCATAGTCTGTATATTGCAAAGCATGAGGTAATTCATCTTCATGCAGCAGCCCCGTAACCCCGTTGACGTCAATATTACATAAAAATGACCTGAGCTATCTGCAATAGCAACCTTAACAATTAACATCAACATGTGTGAATCGACTCTCTTAAGAATTTCATCATCCAATATAAACTCAGACGTTTGTTGCACCTACAACCACAAACCTTAGTATCAGTAAATGAATATAAAATATAAAATATAAAATGTAATACACATCTAATAGAAACACCCTTCTAAACATTACTAATAGATGTGGGGTAAAACCGGACAAGTAGGACCACATGGATAATAAAAAACTTAATTTCCTGGGTGACCAAATCTTAACTAGCCAGACATTTAATTCTAATGCATAATAATAATACTCTGTAACTACATCATTTTATTATGTGAATGATTCAAACTTCAATAGCTAGAGTACTATAGTTACAGAAATGCAAAACAAATAGGCAGATTCATTAAGAAAGGAATGTCTAAAAAATTACTTCTTCTCTATTTGACAAAGATAGTCCACTTTTATTAATTTCATCCTAAATCTCACAACAATTATTGTACTGCATTCATAAAAACAAAGATAACAAATATTTTTTATACTTAGCTGGTCCATATGCAACCCTACTCGGGAATAATTACACAAACAGATATTACCATTAGTGAACGAATTAAGCCTTCGCTAATAGCATGACCATCAGTTCAACTTAACCAAAGTAACTGCATAGTAGCACATTCCATGATAAAAAATAATATCAGCTAAATACTTTTTAAACCTGCATACTTGAAATTTAACGTCTAATTAGTACCGCTTTATCAACTAAATTCTAAGAAATAATCAGTGATATGTAATTTAGAATTGTATGAAAGGCAACAACATTACATTTAGGCGCATCCGAAGTACTTAGTGAATCTACTATTTCTATGACAGAAGCAAGAAGTCACAAAGGTATAAAGATAACTACCAAGCTTGTGTATGATTTCCGCTTGTTTGAATGGAATGTGGTATAGGTGATGATTTTCCAAAGTTGACCGGCCTTCCACTTAATCCTAACACCTCAGAGTATTACTCTGAAATTTATATCAAGCAAGGAAAGAAAATCAGTGCAGCTCAAATATTAACTTGTTATGAAATCAGCTTAAATGTGAAAAGTATAATCCAGCTCATTGAAGACTATATGATTATTCTTGAAATGGAATCACACTGATATATACAACACTCCAGCTTATTCCGATGTTCGAACCCCAATCGATCTCAAAGCTATCATATTGGTTTTCTTAAAAGATGCATATCCTGAACGGGGGAAAGCTCAGATTTTCTGATTGGCAGACTGGAAATGCAACTATGAAACTAAACAGATCAACACTCTGAAATAACATAGAGAACGATTAAATTGAAATGATTAAATTGTAAATTGAGAAACATCTTAAATTAGTGATTTTACCCATTACAGATTAACATTGAAAGAAGAATTAAGTACTTCATAATTAACATAAGCAGCAATTTAGTACAGAATAGTGCTCATTAACTATGTATGCGTTTTTATCTATGTGAATTTAGTTTGATCTAGAGCAAGACTTTAATAAAGAACTGAAGTGGCACCTTGTTAAGATCAATAGCCTCGAAAGCTTCCTCCCTGGACAAAAAGTCAGGAAGCAGTCTACTGAATAAGCCCACAACTCGTATATGCCCTCTTTTTTTTCTTGCATACATACTCTTGTTTTGCGTAATTTTTATTGTTATTTTTGTGTGTAAATTCTCCTGTTATTGTTTCAGTATGATTTCGAACCAAACGGAAATGAAAAATCTGAGAAATAGCCAAACAGTGTAGTCCAGAAAAAGCAGAGAAATCATTAAAGGGGGTACCAATATGTAATCAAAAGAGCCCAAATAACAACATCAAAACCAAAACTGTACCAATTCACTTGCATAACACATTAAAATCAGAATAGAAAAATGAACAATCAAATTTCTCATACAATGAACAAAACTAGTTGAAATGAGAACAAATAAGTTTCAAAAATTAGATAATAAGAACTGTCTGCAGCACTTTCATAAGATTATTGCTAAAATAGTGATGGGAAAATGTGTTTACCTTGACAACTTGATGTGGCTTTCTGTTTGGGGAGCGGCCAAGTTACTTCGGGGAGCACCCAAGTAATAGACATTTGAACCTGCGAGCAGCTTCTTCCGTTGAATTTTAACTGAAATTTTGACAAATTTTAGTGATAGAAACGAAACGACAAGAGTAGAACAATCGTGGCTGTTCCGAAACCTGGTTAGCTGCTAGGTTTCCTTCGTCTTCTTCCTATTTGAATAATCTTCGTTTTAATTCCTTCCCCTTCCAAAAACGAGGAAAGTGGCTACTATGAAGGCAGACCAGTAGTCGGCGTTTGTGATAGTCTGGATTTGTTCTTCTCCAATTCGTGAATTGAAGTATTGCAGCGAAGACGAAAGAATTGCAGAAGAAAAACCGCGAACGAGCGATGATGTTTCTCGGAGAGTTGATTGAGGAGCGGCCAAGTTGAGAAGAAGAATGGTACGAAGCTAGGGTATGATTGCAATCGTGAGGCTAAGTCGCAGATGGGCTCCAGGGTTTGTTTTTCAATTTTTTAATTAAAGGAAAAACAAAGAAAAGTACTCCCTAGAAAATAAAAAGTTAGAGCTCTTTTTTGGATTGACCGCCACCCGCCTAAACAAAACTTTTAGGGACGGGAAATTAGAGAAGTAGCGAACGGAAATTAAAATGGTCCCGAAAAAATTAATCATTTGCGACCATATAAAATTTGGTCGTTATTAGTATATCTATTGCGACCATATTCATAGTCGGTCGCAAATTATTCGTCGCAAAAGGTCAATTTTCTTGTAGTGCGGCCATCAAAGTTTGTGAAATTGTTTTGTAATTGAGCCTTTTCAAAACCATAAAGTCTTATAACTTCTTTTTTAATCGTTTTGCGACTATAATTTCTAAATTGAGGATTTAAAGTACCTTGAGCATAATCTCTTAAAGCAAGACTTGCGAAAAAATAAAAGGAAAATTTTCTTCAACAATTAAGTTAGACATACCACTCAAATGTTTGGAATCATCATATGAAAAATTTCCAAAGGGTTGGCTATTTGCAAACCTCGATATTTGAGTTTGCTTACCCTTGCCCTTGCCCAATTTCACATACTCCACGGCGTGTTTTGCCTTAAGATGCCTTGCGGCGGTCCTGTATCCTTGTGAAAGTCCCAAGCTAATATTTTTCTTGCACCACTTGCAAGTTGCGTACCAAATCTTGGTCTCCGGGTCCTTCCACTTATCAAAATTATTTAGCATACGTTCAGATTTACTGTTTTTCTTACCGGGTTGGGATGAAGAAGGCTCGTCGATGTGGGTGTCATCGTGCGGGGTGCCGTCACCCTCGTCTTTGGCCGTCGGATCGTCCTCCTCCGCATCCTCATCCTCAAGCTCTTCTTCGTCAATGGTCGGGATGTCTTGTTGTTGGAAAAAATGCCCATTATGTTGCTCCAATAGTTGTTGTAGTTGCTCGTCGGACATCGCATCCTCATCTCTCCGTTGGTAATATGTTTCAAAATCATCTCGACTTTGAGAAGAAGACCCAATATGTCGTTTACCTTTGCGTGAAGAAGGATGATTCTTCCCAATCTCCTTCCTTCGGTTGTGAGTAAGGTTACCCATATCAACGACCAATCCTTGGCTTCACAAATCATTTGCCGATGTGGTTTCCAACAAATTTGAGGCCAAATTGAATACTACGTTTTCCATGTTCAAAGGAGTGCCGGCAATAACCTTCCCAGATAAGGATGTCCAAACTTTGGCAGAACGACATAAACGATCAGTGATTGGCTATTATTTTTACAAAGGAAAGCCAAGCATGGAAAATTTACGTAAAGCGTTTGAGGTAATTGGCTTTAAGGGTTCTTTTCATCTAGGGTTGTTAGAAAAGAAACATGTGGTGATACGCTTTGATCTTGAAGAAGATTATTTGAGATGTTGGAACCGACAAACTTGGAACATCTATGGTTATACTATGCGTGTAACTAAATGGTCACCAAATTTTCGTCCAAAAGTGGAGTCGCCTATTTGTCCCGTTTGGATTGCGATGGAAGGACTCCCTTTGCATCTTCAAGATAAAAGAGCCCTTTTTGAGATTGCAAGTTTGATTGGGACTCCTCTTAAAATTGATGTTGCCACTACCAATTTTACAAGACCATCGATGGCAAGAGTTTGTGTTGAACTTGATCTTACAAAAGAAATGCCTCAAAAAAAATGGATCAATTGGGGCTCGGTTGATTTTTTTCAACCAATTATCTATGAGAATAGGCCAATTTATTGTGTTCACGGTTTTCACATAGGGCATTTAACGTCCAAATGCTCTAAAAGAGAACATATTCCTAAGGAACATCGCACTAATCAACCCATAACACTTTCACAACCCAAGGAGAAATGGGTTGTTAAACCCAATGAAAACACACAGAAAGTACCACCTACATCTCAAGACAAAGGGAAAGGGGAGATGGTTACATTTGATCCTAAATTAATAACTCCCAGTCCACATGATTCAGACTCTGAGGTGGAGGAAATAGAGATGGAGCCAAATCCTTATTCTGGAGCTGGCACACCCGGGGCAGAAACATCAGCTTCTGGTAACTCCAACAACACTCATGAGATTACACCTGGGCAAGAAATTATTACTACAGTCTCAGAGGTACAGTCCACTCAAACAAAAGAAGTTAAGTCCTACCCCATGCCACAGCTTTTAAGAATGGACATACCTGGCCCTGTTCCGTCCTTTAAAGCTGATGTTCACAAGCCTGCAGACGACACTACTTTACATCATATCAAGAGCAGCATAGAGTATGATCCTTCACTTCTTTCAAAGGGCTGTGCCTCAGATGGTGAGAGCCCACATCACATATCAACAATTGAAATCTGGAAAGAAGAATTACAGTCCCTGCAAATTAAAGTTGCAAATATTGTTAAACAAAAAGAGGAGAAAGAGGCAAAACAACAAGCAGCACAGCTTGTTCATGGAGGAACATCTAAACACTCATTCAAAGACCTAAATGATGATTTCATTCAAGTTACAAGGAGGAAAAGGAAACCCACAATACCTTCTGAAGCTTCATCCATCATCACCAGACATGCAGCCAGAAGGCTTTCGCAAGCTTCCTTGCCTACTTCCTCATGAATTGCCTATTCTGGAATATCAAGGGCCTTGCTTCCTCCTGCCTAAGGCTTTCCTCTCTTATTAGGCAGTTGGATATTTGTTTAGTATCTATTTTTAAACCATTGGTTGATAAGAATAAAGGAGACTCGTTTAAAAGAGAACTTGGATTAACTGACTGCTTTCTTCATCTTAATGGTAAAATTTGGTTATATTGGAATTCTGACCTGATTTCCATATCTCAAATTTCCTGGGCTGATCAATACATACAATGTTATGTTGCTATGGACTCTAATTCTTTCTGGCTCACCTCTATTTATGGCAAGTGCACTGTTGGGGAAAGGAGAGGCATCTGGGATTTCTTAATGAGCTGGTATGATCATAATCAGGGATCTTGGCTAATTGGAGGGGATTTTAATGCAATTACTAAGTATGAAGAACATAAAGGTAAATCCATTCCTAATTATGAAAGTATGGAAGATTTTAGTAATTGCATTACTTATTTTGATTTAATTGATCTTCCCTGGGTTGGAAGTCAGTTTACTTGGACTGGGAGAGTATGGAGGAGGCTTGATAGAATTCTTATTAATCAAGCTTTTCGATCAAGATCTGTTTGGGGAATCTTTATTAAACATCTTAATAAATGTGGTGCTGATCATTCACCTCTGCTTATTAAATGTCAGTTTCAGTATTCCTCTGGACCCAAGCCTTTTAGGTTCCAAAACATGTGGATCAGTCACCCAAAATTTAAAGATTTGGTCTCAAAAAGCTGGTGTGCTACCTACTTTTGGAAAGGGAATGAGGGGTCTCTTTCTTAAGATTAAACATCTCAAAAAGGATCTCAAAGAGTGGAATTATGTTGTGTTTGGCAATATCTTTGAAAGGGTTAAAAATTGTGAACAAAAAGTTGATGAGGCTGAAAGGAAGTTTGAGGATACTCCTAATGATCTAAACAGATCTAATTGGCACAAAGCTCAAGCTGAATTAATTCTGGCATATAAGCAGGAGAAAAAATTTTGGAAACAAAAAGCCAGAATTAAATGGCTTAAAGGAGGAGATAGCAATACTAAAACTTTTCATAACTATGTTAAAGGGAGACACAAAAGGCAACACATTGCTTCTATTATAAAGGAAGATGGAACCTGGATTACAGATAATAATGAAATTGGTGAAGCTGCTACTGTTTATTTTCATAACCTCTTCTCTGATAATGAAGTCTCCACATTTGATGATTTCTCAGATTCAGTCCTTAACTGCATCCCTCATTTAGTTAACCTGGAAGACAATGAGATGTTAACACAGATTCCAAATGAAGATGAAGTTAAAAAAGCTGTTTGGGAACTTAATCATAATAGTGCAGCTAGCCCGGATGGATTCAATGGAAATTTTTTTAGAAGCTGCTGGGAAGTGATTAAAAATGATGTGGTTTATGCTGTTCATGATTTTTTCTTATGCACTCCTATCCCACAGGCTATGGGTAGCACAACAATTGTACTTATACCCAAAAAAGATAGGCCTGCTGACTTCACCGAGTTTAGGCCTATATGTTTATCAACTTTTATAAGCAAGGTGTGTACTCGAGTGTTAACCTCAAGGCTCAGTTCGATTTTGCCTAAACTTATTTCTATGGAACAAGCTGGCTTCCTCCAAAACAGAGATATTAGTGGACACATCTTACTTGCCCAGAAATTAATACATTCACTGGACAAAAAAAGTCAAAGGAGGGAATATTGCTATTAAATTAGATATGGCTAAGGCCTTTGATAGGGTCTCTTGGTCTTTTCTACAGAACATACTCTCCAGGTTTGGTTTCTCTACCAAGTTCATCAATATTATCATTAATAATTTGCAGGCCACTCACATGTCTCTTATGGTTAATGGCTTCTTTCATGGATTTTTCAAACCAAAAAGGGGTGTGAAACATGGGGATCCTCTATCTCCCTACCTTTTTATATTAACCTCATAGCTTAGGTATTTTCTAGAGGGCTAAATCAACTGGTTAAAGAGGGAAAGATTTCTCCATACCTGGTAAGCAGAGGGGCTCCTTTAGTTTCTCATCTTGGATATGTAGATGACCTATTACTCTTTGTGAATGGAGGAGCAAGAACTTTGTTGAATTTCTCCAACTTTCTGTCTTCCTACCAGCAAGCTTCAGGACAGGCTGTAAACTACAATAAAACCAATCAAGTATCTTGGAGCTTATCTCTATCAGGGCATTAATAGATTTAGATACTGTAAAGATCTAATATCTTCTTTTGATAAGAAATTATCTCTATGGAGGAAGAAGATATTATCTCAAAGTGGCAGACTAATTCTCATTAAGCATGTTTTGGCTTCTATTCCTTTACACACATTTGCTGTCTCTAAGCTTCCTAACTCTGTTATTAAAGTTTTGGAAAGTAAGTTGACTTCTTTCTTCTGGACGCCAATTATTGGCAGATGATCATCCGACACTAAATCCGACACTAATTACCGTCGGAATTTGAATCGGACACAAAAAGCGGACAGTATTTTCCGGATTTCTTGTAGTGTGTCTTATCACAAGTACATTTCGCATACTTTCTCCATGAATTTATTAAGTCACACTAACATTAATACAAGTCCTGAAATTAGTGAACGCATAGTAATTAAAGAACATGGGAAAAATAAAAATTTAAAAATAAGATAAATTAAAAGAAATTAAAATAGCACGAATATTAAAAAACTTTTTCAAAAGGGAATATGGAACAAATAAAAAAGATTAATAATTAAAATTATTAGTAAAGGAAAAAAATTAAGCCAAAACATAAAGCCTATGCGTACGGCCGACAAAATTAGAGGCCTTCGATAACACTGAAATTTGATTGAATCAGTTGATTTATCAAAATATTGTGAAAATTTTATATTTAAAATTAGAGGCCTTCGATATTGAGAAAATTTTATATTTAAAATATAATTTATTATTAAATATAAAATAATACATTAAAAAATAGTTATAATGATCTATGCAGTATCTTCAGTCAATATAGCCAGAAAAGTAACACAAACTTTACTTATTTTTATTAGGGAAAACTATCAAATCAATCAACCTACTATTTTGAAAAAGTCAATTGAGTCCACATACTATTTTTTCAATCAATTAAGTCTACCAAGTCTCAAATTTTCACCAGTTGGATCATTTAACCGGCTAACTAACCGGTAACCCTTCTAGAGCTGAGGTGGATGCCACTTAAATATTTTGTACTGCTTTTTTTTTAGTTTTTCCCTTTTTTTTCATTTTTTCCTTTTCTTTCTCCTACTTGTCTCTGCAACTCAGCCCCCTTCCCCATTTCCGTCTCTGCGAACTCCCCCTGCTTTATTCCGTATTTTTCTTTTTCCCATTTTCTCTCTGCAACTTCTCCCATCTTCTTTTATCTCCTCTTCTTCCCTACTGCTTCTACCCCACGGCTCCACCTGACCTCCCCCTCCCTTCATTCTTTCCCATCCAGTAGTTCACCCCATCTAACCTTCTCTCCCTTTTTTCTTTTATCCTTTCTCTTCTTCTCCATTCTACTTCTTCTACCTCACCCGACCTTCTATCCCCCCTCTTTCATGGCTAGAGAAGGAGAATATGGAAACCCACCGGCAACC